TCAATTGAACAGGGAGTTTGAGATGAAGGATCTTGTTGAAGCAAAGAAGATTCTAGGCATGGAGATATCAAGGGATAAGAAATTGGGGAGGCTTTGTTTGTCTCAGAAAGAATATCTGAGGAAGGTACTAAAACATTTTGGCATGAATGAGAAGTCAAAACCAGTTAGTACACCTCTTGCTCCTCATTTCAAGCTCGGTGCATCCATGTCACCTAAGGATGATGCAGAACGGGAATACATGTCAAAGGTTCCGTATGCAAGTGCTGTTGGTAGCTTGATGTATGCAATGGTGTGTACGAGACTCGATATTTCACAGGCAGTTGGGGTTGTGAGCAGGTATATACATGATCCTGGAAAGGAGCATTGGCAAGCTGTGAAATGGATTCTGCGGTATATTCTGAACACCGTAGATGTTGGTTTGGTCTTTCAGCAAGACAAACAAGATGGTCAGTGTGTAGTTGGGTATTGTGATTCAGACTATGCAGGTGATTTGGACAAGTGTCGATCAACTACTGGTTATGTGTTTACATTTGCAAAGGCACCAGTTTGTTGGAAGTCCACCTTACAGTCAACAGTGGATTTGTCTACTACAGAGGTAGAGTATATGGCAGTTACAGAGGTTGTGAAGGAGGCAATTTGGCTTCAAGGGTTTCTTGGTGAATTGGGAATAGAACAGAAGCACATCAAAGTGCATTGTGACAGTCAGAGTGCTATTCATTTAGCAAAGAACCAGGTTTACCATGCAAGGACGAAGCACATCGATGTTCGATATCACTTTGTACGAGAGATTCTAGAAGAAGGTGGAGTCATAATCCAGAAGATTCGGACCACTGAGAATCCTGCTGATATGTTGACAAAAGTGGTAACTGCGGTCAAGTTTAAACATTGTTTAAACTTGGTCAATATTTTTACAAATTGAAAGATGAATTTGCAGACACTATTGAAGATTGAATTTTTGAGAGATGTGTTTTAATTTGCCAAGGTGGAGATTTGTTGGTGTTTTGGCAAAGTCCCACATTGGTTGTGTATAAAGAGGGGGGGAAATTATTTTGTTATAAATAGACCCATCCTCCTCCTTAGTTAAGCATCCCACAAATATAAGCCTTCTTCTATATTAAAGGCTATTTGTATTCTTTCTCTCTCTTTGTAATATTTCCTCTATTAGTGAAATATTATTTTAGTAGTGTTCGAGGAGGTAGGCATAATTTTGGCCTAACCTCGTTAAATTTTGGTGTTCTCTTTATGTCTATTTAATAGCTATTGTCGGGTATAGTTGTTGTTAATTATTGTCCTATTAAAATAACTTGTCTTGGTAGTTCTGTCTAAGGAAAGTGGGTTTTAAGAGGGACCATTGTGACCCCTACTCTTTCTTGGGAAGCTACATTGGTGTGATTTTTAGTACAATCGTTTTCACACTAGTCACCTAGATAATAGTTTGAAAGGTGAATTTGTTATTATTGGTGGAAATTAACGTTGATGTCAGAGGTCTTCTCATGAGTCGTTTGCCCTCTGACATCAGCGTCTGGGACACCCGTCTTTGAGTATACTTCGAACTGCTTTATTCTGTCTAGTATTTCTTTTATTAATGATGTGTTGTCCACGATTTGTTCTTCTTGTTTATAAAGAAAATCACATAAACTTCTTTTTTCTGTTTTCAAGACTGTTTATACGTCGCCTTTTTAGTTAGTTGTTTTTGATGTTTGGGGACCTGTCCATATTGTTTCTGATTGTTAATTTACTATGTTTCTTTCATTGATGTGTTTAGTAGACATACGTGGCTGTACTTGTTGAAACTTAAGTTTGAAGTTTCTGAATGTTTTATAAGTTTTGCTTAACTTGTTAAAGTCTAGTTTGATTCTCAGATTCAAGCCCTTCAAACTAATAGTGGAGGTGAGTATCAACCTTTGAAGCGTTGGCTTGCTTCTAAGGGAATTCAGCATAGTATCTCTTATCCTCGGTACATCTGAAAAAAAAATGGTAAGGCTGAACGAAAACATAGGCATATTGTGGAGATGGGACTAACGTTGTTGGCTCACGCTTCATTGTTCTATTAGTTTTTCGAGTCATGCTTTTCTGACTGATGTATTTTTAATCAACAGGTTGCCTTCAGTAGTGCTGCATTCTAAGTCACCACATGAATGTTTGTTCGGGGTTAAGCATGACTATTCCTTTCTCAAGATTTTTGGTTATGCCTTTCATCCTCATATGTGAGATTTTAATTAGCATAAGTTGGATTTTTGTACACGTCAGTATGTTTTTCTTGGTTATAGTGTTTCCCATAAGGGGTACAAATGTCTTAATGAAAGTGGTCGTATATTTGTTTCCATGCATGTTGTGTTTCATGAATCTGTTTTTCCTAGTGCAGGGAAATTTCAAACCCTTAAGGACGTTGCTGAGAAAGTCTCCCCTGTGATTCCGTTGGGTATTGTTACTACTCCTGCTCAGCCTATGCTTTGCCTAATTCTTCTAATGTTGGTGGCAGGGGTTCAGTTCCAGTTACAGACTCGGCATCTAAGTCCATGGGTGTTTTTCCTAATCATCTACCTGGGGCACCTGAAGATGTTTTGCTGGTTTCTTTGCGCCAACGCGTGGCACTGTTGTTTTACCTGAGGGTTTACCTGATTCAGCTGATGTTTTACCTGAACTTTCTCATGAGGTGTCTTGTGGTGTAGTTTATTATTTTACATCTCTGGTCTTCATTGATAGAATTTTTAGAATTTTTATTCGAGTACAAATTTATATTCGAAATTATGTATGTCGGGAAATTGATGATCGTGTAGTTCGTTATCGGAATCAAGTTCAAAGCAAATTAGGAGAAAAGGATAAAATCCGAGAGTGAATCGATAGTGAGGCAACATGTAAGTACAACCTACTTGTTTATATTTGATATGAAGACGGCTTAAATGAGCCAACCTTGAAAGTTTTCGATGGAGAACAATTTGAATTATTTTATGATATATTTTTATATTGATTTAATAAATGGTTTTTTATATGATTTTAGGTATGAATTACCTAAATAATTTTATACGATATTTTATTTCATAGCATGTGAATATTTTTTTGTATAAACTGCCCAAATTCGGTTTTATGAGAATTATTTTATATTCAATTATATAGATGTTTTGCTTTTATATGCAAATAAGTATTTGATTTGAAATAAAGTCCATTGTGTGAGAATTAGAGTTAGTGGCACAATGACATGCTATGAGGTGGAGTGATATATGATTACTGATATGATCTGGTATATTCGTGTACATCTACTTGACACTATATGTGCATTATGATATTCATGATGTTTTGACATCGTGAATTATTATATTGGATTCTGATTTAGTATAGTGTTGTGTTTTACAACAACTATACTTCTGTTTAGCACCAAAAGTGGTATATGATACTAGCACTAAAAGTGTTATCTGTTACTGATAGTAAATTTGTATATCGTACACTCGTTATGTGACTCGTGTAACATATATTCTCATGATAATACAATGGGCAATGATTTGATCTGAAATAGAAAGTATAGATCTGAAATGGTATAATACAGTCTGATTTACAGATTTTTATAGTAAATTCTTATAACAGGATTTGATTTAATATTATACATGTTTTATTTTAATAATGTTTTTATACGATGTGATATGTTTTATATATTAAATATTTTATATATATTACTTGTTGTCTCACTAAGTGAAAATTTAGCGTGTGATTGTTTCACACGTAGGTACCAGTAAGTGAGCAAAATAGAGAGTGTTTTAGCGTCATTTATGATGAAATCGAATATGCCTTTAGAATCGGTCAGGACATTGGACATCATACAAGGTTACTTTCTATTTATATAGTGACATATATTATGGAATTTTAATTGCTCTGATATGAAATTTATTTAGGTTCCAAATATTTTAAATATAAATTATAATTAATAGAAATAATGAATATTATTTTAACAAATTATATTTTAAAAATTAATTAGTGAATTTTTAAATTAGGCGGTTTTAGGCAGTAATATTTATGACATAAAACTGTTTTGCACTGTTTGTTTGCTGCTTAAAAACGATTTTAATTTTAACATTATAATATTAAATTATGGTTTTATGTGATTAATAGTTCTAAAATAAATAAATGCATTTAAAAAATAAAATTTCACTGATTTTTTAATAGTAATAGTTTTATACGACTTATGTGATTTCTTTAACTTGTATATGAGTACGTATATGAGTTACGGGTGTTATAGGTTATGAGTTTGTTAGCTTCCAACATCTAGCTTTCGGTATTCCCCCTTATAAAATCCCTGGACCTCTATTGAGGTATTTCGAACTTTATCAATAAAATACTGAGAGTGCTTTCTTTCTTTCACTGTTGTGATATGGATTAGGAGTTTTGGGTAGTTAAGAATTTTAGAAGTTTTTTTTTTTTAAAAAATAATATTTTTTAAATAAAATTAAAGAAGATATATTTAAATATTTATTTTTTAATTAAACTATTCTAAATTGATATGTTTATATTTGTTGAATTATTCGATATATACCAACTTAAGTTTCTATAATATTTAAAATCTGACTGACCGAACTCGAAAACAAAACAAAGCTCTCACAAACATATTTGGTCATTACTTTTAATCTCATTAAAATCCAAAATTCACAACTAAACCCATCCTCCCTCCGCGTCTCAGATCTCATCAACCATTGCTTTGCTGACCCACTAACCCTCCATCTCACATCACATGCACACAGGTGCTTAATAATGTCCATCACTTCATTTTGTTGTTGGTATGTTATAAGTACCGACAAGAACCATCAAGTGCTTTCATTGTCAAAGCAATCCAAAAACATAAATGCGTCCCTTTTTCATCCCTACCAAACATCATTATTCGTATTAAAAACATAACCCTTATTTGGATTGAAACCCAAGTCGGTGAAATGAAAAGAGAAAAAAAAAACATGTAATGATGTGGCTGGCGACTTCCGATAAAAGTTGCTGTGATTTATGATTGAATCAATATATATAAATATGCCTATGAATTATACATAAGATGATCAAACCATTGCCTGTATATCACATATATTAGCAGAACAGTACAGAGGAAATTAAATAAATATAAATTATTAGATATTTATGGTGGGGTGGGGGGAATAGCTAAAAAAAAAACACAATTTAACAGGCCATCTACTCATGGTTGCGCCAGAAGAAATTTGAATTACAACTCAATGGCGCGAAAAAGCAATACTTTAGTAGTAGGGAATAACCGGCGGCGGCGGAGAAGCGTATGACACTCCACTGATTGGTGGAAGTGGTGTGTTTTCATTTGACGGTGGCGGTGGTGGAGATGGCGACGGAGGCGGCGGTAGTGGGGATGTATATGCATAGTGTGTTGGTGGAGGGCTTTGATGCTGTGGAGATGGTTGTGAATAGTGATGACCGGGTGTGGGTGTATCTGGTGGAGGAGTTGGATGTTGGCTCGGCGAGGGCGGTGGTGATGATACTGGAGTTGTGCATCCTGGCGGGGGTGGCGGAGGAGGAGGGGTTGTATGACACGACTCCTTGGGTGGTGGAGGAGACTGATGCTCATAAGATGACGGTGGTGGATGGTATTCTACTGATGGAGGTGGCGACTGATGCTCATAAGATGACGGTGGTGGATGGTATTCAACTGGTGGAGGATGCTCAAAAGATGGTGGTGGTGGATGGTATTCTATTGGTGGAGGTGGAGACTGATGCTCATAAGTTGACGGAGGTGGAGGGGGGCTTGCTTGCTGCCCCGTTGACGGAGGTGGATAATACTGACCTTGAGGTGGCGGCGGTGGCTGCAATGAATGGCTGGGCGTGGGAACATAATAGGCCGGAGGGGGAGGAGGTGGTGCATAACGGGTATTTGGTGATGTATTCTTTGTTGGTGGCGGCGGCGAAGGCGGCGTGTTGTAGTGATTGTTTGGGGATGCCGGTGGTGGTGGTGGTGGTGGTGGTGGATTATTATAGTAATGGCCTGATGGAGTTGGTTGTTCTACTGGTGGTGAGGGTGGTGTATTGTGGTAATGGCTTGGTGGTGGAGTATTGGAGTAATGGTTAGGTGGTGGTGGTGGAGTGTTGGTGTAATTGCCTGATGTGGTTGGTGCAGGTGGTTGTACCATTGGTGGTGGAGAGTGTACGGGCCCGTAGTGAACAGGCGGGGGTGGCGGTGGAAGATGCGTATTTGGTGATGTTCTTTGAGTTGGTGGCGGTGGAAGATGCGTATTTGGTGATGTTCTTTGAGTTGGAGGCGGTGGAGTTGAAACGTGAGAGTACTTCGGTGGTGGCGGCGACGGCGGGGAATGATAAGGCATTGGTGAAGACTGGGATGATGGTGGTGGTGGAGGATGTGATCTACCTGAAGGCGAAGACTTAGAAGAAGGTGGTGGCGGGGATTTCCTAAACCACTTCGGTGAACTAGATTGACGCGGCGTTGGAGGCCTTGAAGCATGACTCCTCCTCGGCGGCGGTGAGCTTCCACCACCATTACATTTAAACTTACCGCAATCCACAGGTCGAGCAGCATCCGAAGAGCATTCCCTGGAAGATCTCTGATCCATCTTCCCAGGAATACAATTCATAGTACCATTCGCCACCTCTGCACCAGATATCGCCGGACAACTAGGTGGTTCTCCAGTGAAATAGTTAAAAGAATAAGTAAAGTTCTGCAACCTGGAAAGCTGGCACACGGTGGCCGGAATCACACCGGTGAAGCCATTATGAGCAATATCCAGCTGCTCTAAACTCCTCATATTCCCAACAGTAGACGGCAAAGATCCCTGAAGATGATTAAAGCTCACATCAAAGACAGTAACTTCCTTAAGCATCCCGATCTGCGGAGGCAAACATCCGGTAAGATTGTCGTTCATCAGAATGATTTCATTCAACGTTCCACCCATCTTCCCAATGCTTCCAGGAATACAACCACCCAGATCGTTGTTCGCAAACACCAGAACCGAAACAGGAGAGTTCCCCAGGTTCTCAGGAATACCAAATCTGAACCTGTTGTCGTTTAAAAACAACGCATCGAGTTCCTTGTCGAACAGCTTCGAGGGAACCGATCCTTCGAACTCATTGAACCGAAGATCCAAGTACTTCAAACCAGGCAACGAGAGAACCACATTGGGGAACTTGCCAACAAATCGGTTGTTGCTCAAATCGAGCTCATGAAGCAGCTTCAACCGGCGGAAGCTGGTCGGGACAACGCCACAAAACCGGTTGGAATTAAGGTGAAAGAGCGCGAGATCGGTCAAGCGGCCGAGCTCCGGAGGGAGGTAACCGGCAATGTCGGCATGATTAAGATCAATACCGGCAACAACTCTGATTTTGGGATTCGAAGTAGAGGGAGCACAATAGATTCCCATATAAGAGCACACGTTGGAGCCATTCCAGTTGGCCGTGAAGTTAAACGGGTCCGAAAATATGGCAGATTTCCAAGCCTGCAAAGCAATGTATGCTTCACGAAGCCTAGGATTCTCGAACCTTAAACTCGGATCTACATCATCGGCTGCCGACACAACGGAAGTGGAAACTAACACAAGAGCACCAAAAAAACAGGAGAGAAAAAGAGACATTTGCAGTTTTGCACAAACAATGAGCAGAGAGAAAAGATCAGATCACATGGAGATGAGCGATTGTGCCATATGTTAATGTTCTGAGCAAAAGCCTGTATCCACATGGTTTGCTTTATAAAGCATAATAATTGTAAACACTGGGTTTTATTTTCACCTTTTTGGGGTTCTATTCTTACTTACTAAAATTTTTACTGTATTTGTTGGATTGAGTAGTTGATTAGTTTATTGATTAATCAAGCTTCGAAATGATAAATTATGAATTTGCACACTACTTATGTCGCCTGTGTAAATGTAAGTCTAACATTTTGAACTAGAATTGCAAACGACAAAGAACATTGACATGCTGGCACGTCTGTCTCTTAATACATCATTTGTAGATTCGTGGGTTAATTTTATTTTATTATTAGAAATATTAAAACCTGAAAAAAGAAAGTATATTGGCTGGCATTAGATTGGATTCTTCTCCCATCCAAGCAAGCAAAGCAATGCGCGTTGCAATTTAAGAGTCAAACCAGTTTGGAAACATGGGGTGCACATCTGTGCATTCTTTACTTGTTTTTTTCTATTAGTTTCCAATGTTCTTATAAATGATCACTTTATTCTCTATTTTCTTAGAATATTTTAATCTAATATATTAATTTTTAGTCAAAATAATTTCCGTTTAATAAAAAATGTTAATTGATTAATGGTCTATATATATTACTACATGACATCCTCACTTATATTTAAATGATGATGTGATATATCACTATTTATGATCACTTTGTCCTCTCTCTATATATATTTTTTAGTATTTTAGTCTTTAACGATTTAGTTTTTAGTAGAAATAATTTTTGTTTAATAAAAATCGTTAATTGATTAATGATCAACACATATCATTGAAGTAATATTTTTACATACATTTAATTGATGATATGTTGTATGTCATTCATCCAAAATGATTATGTGGCATGTGTTATGTCACTCATAATGATATTTAACAACATGAATTGATTGATGATTAACTAATAACTATTTGATAAAAAAAATCAAAAGTTTAAGAGCTACAATATTTTAAAAAATAAAAAGTTAAAATCATGATTTATACAAATGTTAAAAGTTAATTTTTATCATTATATTTAATTTTAGTTATTTTAAATAAATGTTTTTTGTATCTCAAATGTTTTAAGTTTGATAATATGATATAGAGATGAGTATTATAATTTTTTAATTTTAAATAATTTAAAATTTTAATATTCCAATAATAGTAGGATAACATGTATTGTTATCTTATTATTGAAAATTAAGAAAATTGTTATATTATTAAAAAATAATAATATTTATGTAAACTATGGTTAAATTAAAAAGATAATATTTACGTAAAAAATGGTTAAAGATAATTACTAAGAAAATTTTGATTGTTATATTTTTAAAAGAATATAATATAATTATTAAATTTAATAAAAAATAATTTAGTGACCAAAAATATAGTTTTTCCTTAATGATAATAATAGATTGTATGTATTAAAAATTTGGGTAAAGTACGTGTTTAGTACTTAAACTATCAATTTTGGTATATAAACTTTTAATTTTTTTTAAAAATCATACTAAAAGTTTAGTTTTGTTTTATTTTAGTATCCCACCTTCAAAATTTTTATTTTTGTTTTATTTTAGTACCTCGTTCAAAATTTAACGTTAAATTTTAAATAAATTGAAAGTTTAGGTACTAAACACGTTAAGTTTATATCAAAATTAAATGAAAACTAAACTTTAAGTATGATTTTAAAGAATTGAAAGTTTGAGTATTAAAACAGACCAAATTAATAGTTTATGTACCAAACGCATAGTTTTCCCTAAAAAGTTTAATGATAAATTCAAATGAATGGGCATGAATGTAAGAAGAATGAAAATTTTGCATTAGACATTGGGCAATTGACTTTATGTAAAGTGGGACTGTCATCTTACTGGTCATGTCAAGCACGTATACAATAAATCGGTTGGCGGTGGTGTCAAGCAAATAAGATTTTATAAGACGGTCCAAAGTTAATGATTTGCAATCATGTATATAGGCAGATCATCATTATTGTATATAAAGATTACTTTTCATGGATTTGGTATTTAAATTTTACTTTTCATATATTAATTTAACTAATTTTATTAGTAATTCGAATGTGCTCTTGCAAATTGCAATATAAGTGTATAATAAATTTATAAAATATATTTATAATAATAATAATCATCTCGAGAAAGATAATAATTATTTTGCAAATTGCAAATCATTTTAGAAACCAATACAAATCTAATTTTGCAGTTTATGTAGTTCAAATAATGAAAATTAAAAAAGCAAGAAATTAATATCGGTGTAAATAGAAGCAGCGAGTCAGATCTGCATATTGACTGCATTTACATAATTGCCATTGCCTGTCACTCAAAGAAACTGGTCCCGCTGCCCATTTGTAAAATCTAAATTGGCTACACGATTTTTGAGACTTTTCCCAATTTCGAATCTTTTTTTTTTCTTTTTCATATGAAACAGCGTAAGCAAATTGAACTCCTTACTCCACTTACTAAAAGCCTTCAAAAAATAATTACAATTAAACTTGAATAGAAATTTGAAAAACTCTTTTCAATCTAAATTTCATAAAATTCAACTTGAAAAAAATTCAAATAAAATTTAAATTACAAAATAAAACAAATAATTCAGATTAATTCAACTTATCTCAATCGAATGGTCACCCCTACTTCAAAGCATTTGAAGTATTTCTACAAGGAAGTTCTCAATCATAGAAACCATTTAGCTTGAATTTTGGCCTAGGCAAGGCAACTACTTGTGCTGTCAGCTCAGGGACTGTTACACACAAAATCAATTAGAATTTAATAATACAATCCTATGCTTTACACTTCATACATATCAGTTTCTCGAAAGAGAGAGATTTCACCATATGGATCATTCAGATCAGATGGTACCGGCAGATGATGCCTGCAAAACATGCATATAAACTGACAAGAATCCCTGCTAAACATACGCATCTGGAGGAGCTTCTTCAGGGATCTAGAGAATGTGAAAAACTAATTTCAGGTTAGAATGCCAGAAACAAAACAACCAATAGCTAATGGAATTCGTATCACCATTTTTTGATGCGGACTGCTGTAAGTGGCATAAATTAACAGAAGCATCATTTACCTCTCCAGGAGTCCATTTCTCTTTTAACCAAATACTTGAATCCCCGGAAACAACCATCGTCGGCCAGTTATTTCTGTCACATTCGTAAAGAAGAATAAGCATATTTCTAACTGATACCAAAAAACAACAAATACAGCAGGTTAGAAAATGATTTTGTTTCCCATGGGAGAGATTTCTGTATTAACATACCCTAACTGAACATCTGTAGCTTCTTGTCCATCTGCTTTAGAATTTGGGAGTGAGATGTTAAAGACACAAGGAGCCTGGCTGCTGGATGAACTCGAGTTTTGAGTTGAGAATGCCGCTGCAGAAAATTGGTTAATAGCAGGACTAACGGCATTGCTGTTGCTGAACTTAGCCGTGTTTGTAGGGAAGGAAGCTGCAACCGACTGGTTGGGTTGTTGGTTACCAAATGAATCTGTCATGTCAACACTGAAATGAGAACCTTGCATATTAAATGCACATGAATAGTGCAAATGGTAAACCTTGAAACTTACAGGCATTTGCCGATGAAACATTGTTCGCTGCAAATACATTTGGGGATTGAGATGAATTTGGGAAAGAAGTTGGTAGACCAAAGGTGTTATTAGACTGTACAGAAGGCCTGAGAAAAAATTCTTTGTAAGGTTATAAAATCCTGAGGGCTAAACTTGGGGTCTGGGACTCACAGTCATAGATACAAACCAAGAAAGAACGAGATAATATAATATATTTTTTATAGGTGTCATTCTTACCTCTGCGGGAATCCTGTATTAAGTGAAGCTCCCAGCTGACTAAAACTGGAGACTGAAGGAGCCACAGTGTTTTGAGGAGTGGGAGAAAATCCAGCTGAAGTGGCCCCCGGAAATGGAATTTGTTGTGTCAAATTAGAGCCAGCAGGTCCCTTATAGGGATTCTGAAGAAGGTTTTCAAACTCAGCTAACTTTGCATTGAGTAAATTCCTCTCTCGCTCAATCTGTGGTAATAATTGGTCCAATCAGTAAGTTCTGGTCACTAATTAGCATCACATGGTATGATATCAACATCCTTTGTATAACAATGATTAAGATTGATGGAAGACAGAAACATGAAATCCTTTGGAGTTTGGAGAGCAGAAATACACTGACAACAAATACAAAGAAATGTTTGGCATGAAAAGAAGAACAAGTAACATGATGGAAAGATTTGAAGAGCTGTTCACTAATTAAGAGCAAAATTACCTTATAAGTAGCCATAGAAATTCTTTTAAGACTAGCCAAGAAAATCTTTTTAAAATTCTATAATCTATTAGTCTATATGTGAGTATTTATGTGTATCTAAGGTAAAAGTACATTCCGTTAAAACAAACTTCAGATTTAGCAAGCCAATTCCTAGTTCCTAGGGTTTAAGCCCCATGTCAAATAGTATTTCAGCCATCTTTGCAAGAAATTCATGGAAACAATATCTGCAACTGATTTTTTCATTTCTTCGATTGTTCTCTGGATCTATTTGACCTTTTGTTGCAGGTTCCTTACTTTCTCATCCAAGCTACAACAAAATATCAGAAATAGCCAAAATATATGTATCTGTCAAAATAATTCCAAAGTAAAAGTTAAAAATGAAATCACGGATATATGCTAAGGTGAGCATGTAGATATGATTAACATGCAACTGTAAATCTGGAAAGTGAAGTATTCAAAATCCCCTCACAATTGATTGCAAGCTTAAACCACGTTTTGCATCATCATATGCTGCTGCCCGCAATTCTTCATAGCTGACATCGCCAACAATGTCGCAAGGGGAACTAAAAACAAAAAATTCAAAGTTTATAACACATTAATTTTCCAGTACCATTCTCATAATTTCAAGAATAAAAATATCTACCACCTGAAAGCCTATTGGTTAGAAAAAAAGGGTCTAGGTTGTACTAGCCAATAAGTTCTGAATTTTGACAATGACAG